ACAATACTAATACTAATACTAATCTATTATTACTACTACGCATGGGGATAATGAATAATAATAATAATGATAATAATGATAATGATGACAATGATGTCAATAATAACAAGAATGATAATGATATCACAATAACAATGATGATAATAATATCATTATTACCATTATTATTACTATTATTACAATTATTATCATCAGTATTATTATCCATACTATCATTATCAATATTCTTATCATCATTATCATTAGTAGTTATAATAGTAATAGTAGTATTAAACATAATGATAATAACAACAACAACAACAACAGCAACAACAACAATAATGATAATAACAATAATAATAATGATAATAATAATAGTTATAACAATAATAATAAAAATAGTTATAACAATAATAATAATGATAATAATAGTAATAATAATAATAATGACAATAATAACAATAATAACAATAATAATAATAATAATAATAATAATAATGATAAGAATAATGATAATGTCAATGATAATGAATAATAATGATAATAACGATAATATAGCAATAATAATGATAAAAACAATAACAATAATAAAATAATAATAATGATAATAATAATAATAATAATAATAATAACAATAATAATAATAATAATAATAATAATGATAATAATAATAATAATAATAATAATAATAATAATAATAATAATAATAATAATAATAATAATAACAATAATAATAATAACAACAACAACAACAATAATAATGATAATAATGATAATGATAATGATAAAAATAATAATTTCATTATCATCATCATCAATATCATTATTGTTATTATCATCTTTATGAATATCATTATCAATATTTTCCTTTTCATTATAATCATTTTTATTGTTATTGATATTATCATTATTATAATTGTTATTGTTGTTCTTGTTATATTTATGATTATGATTATTATTATTATTGTTATTATTATTATTATCATTATCATTATTATCATCATTATTATCATTGTTATTATTATTATCATTATTATTATTATCATTATTATTATAATAATAATTATTATTACTAGTATTATTATTATTATCATTATAATTATTAGTTGCTGCAGTGGGATGCTTACGGAAGGGGGAGCTCTTCCATCGGACTCAGGACAGAGAGAGATTCAAATGCATGGTAGCCAACGTCAAGTGACAAGGCACAAGAAGATTATTATCATTACTATTATTATTATTATTATTATTGTTATTATTATTATTATTATTATTATTATTATTATTATTATTGTTATTACTACTATTATTATTGCTGTTGTTGTTGTTGTTTCCATTATTATTATCATCATTATTATTGTTATTATTACCATTGTTATTATTACCATTATTATTATTATTATTATTATCATTATTATTATTATTATTATTATTATTATTATTATTATTATTATCATTATCATTATTATTATTATTATTGTTATTATTATCATCATCATCGTTATCATTATCATCATTATCACTATCATTATCTTTATCATTATTATCAGTACTACTAGTAGTAGGAGCAGCAGCTATAGTAGTAGTACTAGTAGTACTATTATCATTATCACTGTTATCATCACTATCATTATTATCATCAGTAATATTGTTATCAACATTAACACTATTATTGTTATTGTTATTATTATTTCAGTCATTATCATTATCATTATAAATGTTATTATCATTATCATTACCAATATTTTTTTTCTTCTTGTTCTTGTTCTTGTTCTTCTTGTTCTTCTTCTTGTCACCATTATCATCATAAACACCATCGATCCTGCTTTCGTTATCATTATCATCATCACTATCATCCACTTAGTTATTATAATCAATATTACCATTATAATTAATATTATTGTTTTCATTACTTCTAACAATAATGATAACAAATATAATGATGACGACCATGGCAAAAAAAATACGAATACTAATGATAAGGATGATAATATGTGATAATAATGATAATGATAGTAATAATGACAAAGATAATAATACTAATTCTACTGCTGCTACTACTAATAATAACAACAATGATAATGATAATAATGACAATGATAATATAAACAATAATAATGATTATAATAATGTTGATAATAATAATAATGACAATACTAATACTAATACTAATCTATTATTACTACTACGCATGGGGATAATGAATAATAATAATAATGATAATAATGATAATGATGACAATGATGTCAATAATAACAAGAATGATAATGATATCACAATAACAATGATGATAATAATATCATTATTACCATTATTATTACTATTATTACAATTATTATCATCAGTATTATTATCCATACTATCATTATCAATATTCTTATCATCATTATCATTAGTAGTTATAATAGTAATAGTAGTATTAAACATAATGATAATAACAACAACAACAACAACAGCAACAACAACAATAATGATAATAACAATAATAATAATGATAATAATAATAGTTATAACAATAATAATA